TATCAAAGTAAAAATAAATTATTAATTGCAAGAGCAAACGACAAAATTGATAAATTAAGTCGATATAAAAAACATGTAAGCTCGAATTTTTTAATATTTTAATACGGTCTAATAATAATTTCTATTCAATTTCATTTATTTGTTATGTCATATAGGAGGATAAAATAATTAAGATACAAGCTCTATGGCGTGGCCGAGCATCGAGGAAAGCCTTTCGCTCCTTATTATACTCAGAGAAACCGTCGTTTCCTGTTGTCAGATATTTTTCAACGGTATTAGGTTTTAGCGCCGAGGATTATGACAAGGATCTGGAATTACAAGTACGATAACTTTTATATTTTTTGCACATCACAACTCTATTCTTGTATCATAGTTCTGTTATATATTATGACCGTTTGTTTTAGAAATTAAAACATGAAGTCGTCCAATGTATAAGGCATAACCAGAATCTATCGGAGCAATTAAACAGTATGTTCGTCAAAATAGGATTACTGATCCAGAACAGAATAGCATTACAGGTATAGTCTCTAAAGTTTAGTTAAACGTTGACGAAAATTTCTGAATTTTGCTAAAAAATATCTCGTATTTCTATCTAGGATGTCGTGGCGCATGGCAAAAGTCTGGATACTCTTGCGAAGGAGAAGAACGCGAGCAAGGATCAAAATACTTTAAACGATATTGCTATGATGACACATAAAGGTCTCAAATCATTAACGAGGGAAGGTCGTAAAATGTTGGAGGGTTATCAGCACTTGTTTTATGCATTGCAGACGAATCCGCAATATTTGTCCAAGTTGTTATATTTGCCCCCTAGCAACAAATCAAACAAGCTGTTTCTGAAGAATATCATCTTGACGCTGTTTAATTTCGGATCAAACACTCGAGAAGACTATTTATTGTTGAAACTATTCGGTTGTGCATTGAGAGAGGAAATCAAGTGCAATTGCCATCAGCCCTCCGATGTGTTGACCGGCAAGCCTTTGGTCCGCGAGATGGTGGTCAATTACGCGAAACAATTCAATGGTCAAGCGTCATTAAAGCAGATCGTAGGTCCATTAATCGAAAAGGTTTTGGAGGAAAAAGATTTGTGTATAGAAACAAATCCAGTAGACATATACAAACTTTGGCGGAATCAATTAGAAATGGAATGCGGCCAGTCTTTGGATATGCCCCATGCGGTGTCTCAAGAACAAGCATTGAAACACATTCCAGTGCAGGAGTCGCTCACAAGAGCGATAAATCAGTTGAAAAAGATATCTCTTGAATTTCTCGATAGGATAACACAGTCCCGCGATCTTATCCCTTATGGGATGCTCTACGTTTCGAAGGTTCTATACAACACATTGCTAGAGAAGTTTCCGCATGCTCCCGAGAAGGATTTCTTGAAGGCGGTCGGCAATTTGATTTACTATCACTTCATCAACGCCGCAATTGTGGCACCGGACACATTCGACATCGTCACATTGCCGATGGACAGAACATTGTCTTCTTGCCAGAGGAAGAATCTGGCCAGTATAGCCAAGGTACTGCAATTCTCCACTTCGAAGAAAGGTTTCGGCGAGGAGGCACCGCATTTGGAATGCTTAAATTCGTTTATAATTGCTTGTCATGAGAAGTTTAAGGACTTCTTTCGATATTGCTGCCAAGTGGAGGATCTCGAGGAGCACTTCGATATTCATGAATACACGGAGGCGACACTGATACAAAGTCCGGAGATATGCATATCTTTACAGGAAATATGTGAGATGCATGCTCTGATGTTGAATTATGAAGATCAAATAGCACTGGATCCATCTGATCCTCTACATGACTTATTGGATGATCTGGGTCCAGCACCGACTGTAGCATCATTGCTTGGGATATCTAAAGCGACATACGATGCAAATTTGGCGCGATACAGCAAGCAAGAGGTGTGTCTAGTATTGACCAACAAATTTCAAGTGCCGCGGAATGATGACACGAATCTGAGCAATCTCTTTGTAAAGACGAAGGAGTTACTCGTGTCGGTTATTCCGTTCTTAAAGAAGCCGATCCTTGTGGAATCTTTAGAAACCACAACCTCTCCAATGTGCGTGAAATTGTTCGACTATTCGTCCGTGTCGCCGACAGTTCGCGAAAGTTCATCTATAAATGATTGTAAAATGCAATTACGTGCGTATCTGAATAAACTCGAGCTGGAGGGATGGATCAGTCGCGCGGACGGTTATCAGACGATCGTAACTGCGATAGCAAGGGATATTTGCAACAAGAGCAAGTATCGCGTTGCGAGAGACAAAGAGTTGCAGACGCTACGGGCGACTAAGGACCGATTAGATGAGAAGACGCAATATTATCAAGATCAAGTCGGATTCTATAATGAATACATAAAGGGTTGTCTTCAAAATCTGCACAGTGGAAAGAGTTCGCTCCGTGCATATCGGATGATGCAGAAGAATACATACACGCAGTGCAAATTGAGATCCAAGATGACCATAAAGTATTCCGCATGGAAGCTGCAGGAGAAAGGCGTGTTGATGGAGGTTGATCAGGCGTTGAGTCCGACGGAGATGAAGAATGTGATTTTCGAGATAAGTCCAACAGAGCACAGTGGTGTATTTGCCGTGCGCTGTAAATTCATGGGTGTTGAACTGGAGAAGCTTGATATTAGCATACAAGAGCTTCTCGAACTGCAGTATGAGGGCAGACCTTGCATGGATATGTTCGGTAGAGCAAAGGTTAACGTAAACCTGCTCTTGTATCTGCTGAATCGAAAATTTTATGGCAAAAAGAGTTGAAGGAACTGTCTTAAAATTCTTCTAATAGAATTCGGAACAACTGAGTCGATTCATGCGTGTTACATGTGCAATTCATTGCTAGCACAACGTGTTCAAAGCAAAAGCTTCATTGGTATTTTATCATCGCGACGAGTGTCGATGATCTAATAAATATATATTTTTCGTATTTCGAGGTCTTCTTTCTGGGAATGATGATATATTTTGTTGCAGAAAACTTCATGTAATACATGGAGTACGGGGAAGTTTGTGAGATTTTACTTTCTCTTTGAGAATAAAGGAAGCCAATTATCTTTTTCTCATGATGCAAGTACAATTATTTGGACGTATACAAAAGTCTGTTTTTTTTTTTTACAAAATACTTCCAATTTTACTCTCTCCTCTTCCTTTTCCTTTAATTTCTCCATCCTATTTTCTTCTCTTTTTCTGATGTAATTATGTATTTATTTTTGGATGAAGAAAACCAGAAACAGACAAAAAAACAGACAGAAATTAATTACGGTTTAAATCACACAATATTATAAATGCAATTAATTTTTTAAATAATTTAAATTGGAAATTATTATTTTGCTATCTTAAAATATCGATTATCATTTTATATATCAGATCGATTATTATTTTATGTATTTTTTCTAATAAGCTGGAAAATATGGTATATTACGACTTGTCACTGATTTTATTTCACGTGACTTTTTAATAATTAAGTTATTCGCATTGCTAATGATGTCTTACAAACTACCGCATCCCAGTAACCTGTTTAACAGCAATCTATCTAGTCTATGATATAGCATGCGTTTTATAAATAATCATCATGAATGTTCGAAATACCAATAATGCAACAATGATTACTTGATATCACACATATATATAAGTATGTACGACGAGTTTTTGCATTTGTATATACGGACTCTGATGTGTAAATCTGAAAATTATTAGTACTATCTCTGTTTTATGTTAGAATAAGAATATTTCGATTGGCATTGTAATATAATGGTTTCAAGTCGAAAAGGATTAAGTCGACGATTTTAACAAATTTTAATAAAATTTTATCTTTAAACATTATTTAATTTTGTTTTTATTTTATGGCGTGTATTTGTATAAATCTTTGTTGAATTATTAATTTAATTATTAACTCTTTCCTCTCTCTCTCTCTCTCTCTCTCTCTCTCTCTCTCTCTCTCTCTCTAAAAGAAATTTTTTAGAAAATTTTTAGTAATAAAACATATTTGAAGATATCAGAAAATAATATAATTAACATATAACACATACAATTGATTTATTGAAAGGATAATTATTAATAATTTTGAATATCGGATATCAAATGTGTTGTTTCTTACTTTATTTTTTTCAAATGTTCTATTTGTGTGCAATAATACTAAATTACACATTTGGATAAAAAATTTAAGATTTATTCCAATCAAGTATAGGTGTGCGAAAAAGTAGCGTTTTTTTAATGCCATCTAATGGGAAAAACGCCACGAACTTTTTTCCACATCTAATATTTAAATGTTTATAATATTTATATTAAAAACTAACATATATTTTGAGCATATTATAAATTAACATGTTGCGGTCTTTTTCGTAAAATTTCTTATTTTTTAATTTAGCAGCTTTTTTCTCAGTTTTGCAATTTCATTTATGGATACATCTTTACAATATTAAGCTATCCTCTCTCCATACGTATCTTGTATTGAAGTGTAGAGAGTGTAGAAAATAACTGAACGAATAGATCAGGTCATTCAGGACGCATCACATAAAATAATTTGAGAGGTTTGCCGTGAATAATTCTTCTGATCTAATTATTTGAGTTTATAATTTATAACTTGTTACGAGTTGAGTTATTGATTCAACGTCATTTTTGTATAATATAGAGCTTTAAATGGATAACTCATTGTTGGTAAGTAACCTCATTATTATGGAATACATTTCACTTTTACATTCTAATTTTGCTTGTAATTCTAATTATGTAATCTTTCAATCAAATATTAGCGATATGAGGTTCTTCAACGATCTGTTAAAAGCATCAAAAATTTTGATTTCTTTAATTTATCTAGGCATCATATTAACCTCTTTATTATAGATAATTTTCAGTCAAAGTTCTGAAATAACTTCCTATACATAATATTCTTTGAATATTTACAATTTAAAAAAATAACTGACAAATATGTTATATATTATTTGTTTATTTTCAGGATATAATTCTTTAAAAATACATATATGTTATTTACATAGGAATTTAATGTTTTCATTAAGAAATGGCTAGTATGGAAAATAATTCTAACATGAGTGAAAATAACACAGAGATAGAGAAGCAACTCAAAGAGAGAGCTGAAAGAAATCGTCAGAGAGCACTCTTGTTGAAAAAATCTAAGGTTGTAACTCATCCATATGCAAGGTATATTAAGCATATACATGAAACAATATATTTAAAATACAATAAAATCATCTTTTACACTGATTCTATAATGAATCGGTAGTCAGTAGCCTCAAGTCTTATCGGTGGAGTTGACCAATAGTCAACTTGACTAATGCTGATTGATCAACTTCATCAATTAAGACTAATTGTAAAACTTTCAATCAGCAACTCATTGTAGAATCAACATTAGTAATCAATTCTTTGATAGTTTTAAAATAAACATTTTTTTATTTAAAAATTTAAAGTTTCTTTATTAGTATTCTTATTAATATGCTTATAGAGAAAATAATGGTTCTACAAAAGGGAGAATGCTAAAAATTCAAGGGCAACGTGTTATTGATGGCGGAGGAGGCTTCTTAATAGAAGAAAATGATGAATTAGAGCAGCAAATGGTATATTACACATATGTACATAATTATATCTATAATATTACATTTAATACATGTTTATTTATTTAGTTGAAGATCAGGACTGAGCCAGCACCAGATATTGGTAAATTTAATAAATGTGAGGAGTGTCAACAGAAATTTAGAGACTCATATCTTTTACAAACATTTGATCTGACCGTTTGTGATAAATGCAGGTAGAGTAGCAGTATTTAAAGTGAATATTTTCATTTGCATATATCTATTTCCTTTCTCGCAAATCTTTTGAGAATAATTAAGTCACGAATATTATATCATTTTATATTATTTTAGAGATAAAGAAGGAAAACATTCTTTAATTACTAAAACTGAAGCTAAACAAGAATACCTGTTGAAGGATTGCGATCTCGATCGACGAGAACCTGTGCTTAAGTATATTGTACGAAAAAATCCTCACAATATGAATTGGGGTGAAATGAAGTTATATCTGCATCTCCAGATAGAACAGAGGGCTTTGGAAGTTTGGGGTTCGGAAGAAAATCTGTTGAAGGAAAAAGAAACGCGCGAAATAAAACGAGAGGGAGCTAAAATAAAGAAATTCAATAAAAAGGTATCTTAATTTATATGTCATTTTATTATATCATCTCTTGCTAAATGAAATCTTATTCCATGGAAACAAAGATCAAACAGCTGCGAATGCAAGTAAGAAGTTCATTGTACGATAAGACGACTAAAGCATCGCATGTTCACGAGTTTGGAGAAGACACATACAATGAAAAGGATGATACGTATACACACACTTGCATAACATGCGGTTATGAAGAAACCTACGAAAAAATGTGAAAAAATGCCCGACTATTATTCGCGAAATTATGAATCAATGTGTATTTGATATACTTTACATGAGAAAGAATACAGTTGTCCCTTGAATACAATCTTACTGACGAGTCTTTGAAATGTTTTGCTTCTTAAAAATTTGGATGTATCTTTCTTGATATTGGTTCTTTGTTGATCAATGTAGTTTCGATTTATATATCTTTTTTATATTTCAAAAAATTAGATTTAAATAAATTTTATTTTTGATCAATATTTTTCTCATTAATTTTTTAAGTTTCTACTACATGAATATATTTTTATCTCATTTATAAAAAAAATTTTTATATCAAAAAATTACTACATTGTATACAAAATTAGAAAAATTTATGTACAATTATAAAATTGAAAATTTAGATTGCTATTTTTTTATACTTACATTATGAAATAATATATTTTCTTTCTAAAGATAAGGGGACTAAGTTTTAATGTTCAGCAGAAGAAAAATAATTTGTGGTATCATGTAAACACTAGTTAGAAGTATAAGCTTTATTTAATTCTTTTACGCAAACTTCATTTGATCCGAAATTTATTATAATAAATGGACGTATAAGCGTATACTTACTGAACTGAGAAAAAAATTTCTAAACAGATAATGCAAGACGATCGTATTGAAAATATCTATGTAATCTATTATCGTCCATTGTTTAATTCTTAATAAAACTTTTTTTTTAGTTAAAATTATATTATCACTATTGTTTCGCTTACAGAATTTCGAATAAGAGAAATCTTTGTTATGCAACTACATAATTAACTACTAATTATACATTATAACATAATCCATTTCATATATTACAATTATGTGTTGTAATAAATAATACAGATTAGTTCTCTTTATCTCTTTATTCCGTTAAAACTTGCACGTGTCTGTTTTTTTAATCCAATAGTTTATGGAATTAAATCCTAAAATTAAATCCTTAATATAATATAGATATTTCAAAACAATTAAAAAAGTTTATTATTTACATTACAGCACCAGTGGGGGGGGGGGGGGGGGGGAGGGAGAAGGCAGTTAAAACACTTCTCCATCGAAACACTTCTTCCATATACATATTTACACAGATGGAATATATACATTATAGAATTCGACCTACATCTCATTGCAGCAGAAACATGCATACTTGACTAATTGTTTCTTTGGAATACTAATGAGACAGGTGTGAAATGTAAACAACAGGCCGCTTTATAGAGAAATGATAAAAATATATGTTTGCTATATACTAAGGCTTTTACGCAAAATCTGCACAAAAATCTTAGAATGGCAAAACGTTTGGCACAGTCAGCTTGTTGCCATCTGTACTATCGTGAGTAGTATGCACCGAGTTACTAATTAGGACAGATGATCTGTAAACAGAAAGAGAAATGTGCAAATTATTACTTGTAAAAAAATATTTAATTATTAACAATAATTAATAATTATTCATAATTTGAGTCTTATCGAAACTTTTAAATATTATATAATTTATAAATTTTTTCATAACTCTTATAAATTTAAATGGAAATCAATATCTTTAATTAGTTATATTTTATGATTTTTTTTTAATTATTAAACTCTTCAAAAAATAAAGTTTTATCTAGAAAGAATTTTAATAATATTACTAATAACATACATTGATCCAATTCTTTTCATTTCAGCTATATAAATTCAACAAGACACGCTCAAGTCACGTACCTATTATGCCTCAAATGACTCTTGACCAAATCTCCGGAGGCCAATGCGGCCATCAATGATAGCTCTGCGGCAAGCACGGTGGCGCAAACGATTCGAGAAAGTTTTCTTGCGTTCTGGCCGGGTTCTGTAGGATGCGCACCCTTGATTCCCAGCATCGCTAGGCATGCTCCTTGCGCAGGCAGACCGGTACCACCACCTACTGTTCCGACTTCTATGCTGGGCATTGTGCACGTTATACGCAGATCTTTGCCATCTATTCCCCATGGTTCCATCAATGTTAAACAATTACTGCTGCTAACATTCTGAGCGGGATCTTGTCCAGTAGCAATGAAAATCGCGGTTACGATATTGGCGGCGTGCGCGTTGAAGCCGCCTATACTGCCTGCTAAGGCTGAACCGGTTAAATTCTTCTTGTTGTTGAGTTTGACAAGTTCGTAGACTGAAGTTTTCAGTACGCACATCACGATATTCGCAGGTACGATCGCTTCGCACACCACACTCTTACCCCTTCCCTCAATCCAATTGACAGCCGCGGGCTTCTTGTCGGTACAGAGATTTCCACTGAGGGAAATTATTTCCATATCTGGAAAGTAAGTTTGTAATGTCTGCAAAGATCTCTCTGTCCCTTTCGATAACATGTTCATGCCCATGGCGTCACCAGTTGTGGCGACAAAACGCAGATGCAGATCTCGACCGGCTATGCGTGGATGAATTTTTTTTAAACGGGCGAAGCGACTGGTTTGATCAAAGCTGTTCTTTAGTTCTTCAAAATTCTGCGGCTGTTCTATCCATGACATCGCCTCACATGCACGCACAATATCCGGGAATTGTACCACGGGCGCTCGGGTCATTCCATCCGCCGTTACACGAGTGGTTATGCCACATTTCAAAAGCGCGCGGCTACCGCGATTAGTAGATGCTACCAGGCAGCCTTCCGTCGTCGCCATCGGCACATGATATAACTGGCCATCGATCAGCAATGGCCCAACGATGCCAACCGGTATCGGTACGTACCCGATTACGTTCTCACAGCAGGCGCCGAGTACCTTGCTGTAATCATAGTGCTTATATGGCAAATCGATCATTTCTTCGGTGAACTTGCCAGCATCACCCACGACGAGACGCCTAATATCGACACCGCGCTCCATGTCGCCCACTGCTTTTTCTAATTGATAAGCAGCTATGTTTTTGTGTTTCACCAATTGTATCACTTCCTCGTTCGTTAGGGCACTGGCTCCAAGCTTACATATAACAATATGTATATTTATATTATATATATTATTTATGTGTGTGTGATATAATTATAATGATATAATGATATAATTATAATCTTATTATTCTCTTACCTCTGACTTATATATCTCGAGACAGTCTTCCACGCTTCTGGGAGCTTCAGACTTCTTCAGCGATGAATCAATTTCACCGAAATCGCTTGCGTCACGATATATCAATTCAGTTTGTATCTCCTTATCAGCGTATTCCACATCACTTTCATCACCCCATCCACCACCCACACCAGACAAAGGGAAGACCGGTTGCTCTTGAATCGTCGGTAATGTTACACCAAAACGTTCTCGTAACCATATGTTCATAGTGGTATCTATATCGTTTAGATTGGATCCATCAAGAAGTTCCATCTTCTCCTCCACTGTCGCCTCCTTTTTTTCCTCCTGCTCCCTCTCCTCCCTCTCCTCTTCCTCTTCCTCTTCTTCCTTGAATCTTAGTTGTCTGACAACCATATCGTTTCTATCCTCGAAGAAAATGAATTTTACCGCCAGTGCTAACAACAATATCAATATCACAATGTTGTCCGCGCTAGCTGATAACCAAGGTGTCATCAGATGTTTATTTAACTCGGAGTTTCCGGTATCAGAATCGTTGGTTGTATTCGAGCTCGTGTATATCATTGTTGTTTTCGTCGTGACCTCGCTTTCGTTCTTAAAGGGCCATCGGCTGCAATGTAGAACAAAAACATTAATAAATCAATACCATAAATAAATTAAAAGCAATTTAATCTAGACATTTAAAGCAAAATAAATGTTTTATTATTATAATATTTTATATTATTTTCTGTATACATACAAAAGATACGATATATTATTATATTTCACAAGATTGTAAAAATAAATTTACTACGTACTTCATATTTTTCTATCAATGTAATTAATACACTACTCAACAAAATTAAAAGATCACTTGTAAAAATCCCTTATAAAAAGGCAAATTTCAAGATAGTGTAACTTCGTCAAAAATCATTGTATCGAGATGTTTAAAAAAACATTTTAAAGCTTGAAATCTCTACTTTTTAGATCAGTACTTAAAAAAATCGATCTTAATGATATTTTATGAAGTTACATAAATATAAATGAAGACACATCAAATTAAAAAAATTTTTACGAAATTTGCAAAATTCCACGACGCGAATTAAAAATTGTACACAAATGCGGTTTACATTCGAATCGAGTGAATCTTTATTTAAACTTTTTTATGAAGCTTCGTACGATTTTTTTTCACCGAGTTATTTAACGTTGAAGCAAAAACGACCTGTTTTGAATAATTTGATGAAATAAATCGTACAGAGGTCAAATGAATGTTACCACTTCTCGATGAATTATTTCTTGACAGCGTATCTGCAATCGATAAATTGTCGGATTAAATTCTGTAGAATTTCACGCCAGATTCATTGCAAAATATCGTTCAATTAATCCTCAATTTTTAAATTAACGCGCGCGCACGCCCATACATACACACACACTCACGCGCACGCACGCACGCACGCACGCACACGCACACACACACACACACACGCACACACACACACAAAAGGTGGAAATCCGACTGCGTAACTTCTCCGTGGTACCCCTCGTAATGCTAATATCGGCGGTAAAATTTTGAGAAATTTTTAGAGAAAAGACTAGAAAATATACTATTCATTTCAAATCACTCATCTGAAAAGTAGAGATTCAAGTTTTAAAATGCTTTTTTACATTTCGATACAATAATTTTTGACGAAGTTATATTATCTTGAAATTTGCTTATTTTATGAATGGAACAAGTGATTCTTTAATTTTGTTAAGTAATGTATTATAAGTACACAATTCTAACGAAATGACAATTAAGACTGCTAATCGTAATTGTGTAAAAATATTTGATTAGTAAAATAGTTAATTGTGTAAAAATATTGTATTAAAAATATTTAAAAAGTGCCTTATATACACTGCGATGTAATTAACATTATATGAATGAACAAATGAGAAAAACTCGTTTCAAAAAACGAAGCGAACGGAACAACACTTTTTCACAAACTAAAACGTAACCCAGAATGATATCCGGTACACAAATGGAGAGAGAATACTCAAAGAATTCTCTACCACCACCCAATAATGTCACTTATTTTTGGACTCTCATTTTACTTTGTATGAACTAACAGTCGATCCTTTGTACACGCGTTATTATTAACGTCTCATGCAATATTAAAATACACCACCATTCATACGGATTTCGCACATGAAAGCATAGTTCTCTCGATACATTAAATATTAAAAAATATTTACATATACGATTGTATAATAATGGAATTATATAACGTTATGCGTTATTTCGAATTAATACATTTTATTATTTCAATGATATCAATGAAGAGTACCGTAACTTTAAAAATTTTTTAAGACTCATTTATTTTTCATCGAAAATAGAATCATAAAAAAATTCAAAGTTACATCCAAATATTTGAATATGACATTTTATTCCTCTAATCTTTTCTACACGTATTTGCGATTCGATCTTAAAACGACAAAAGACCATCACAAAGAATCTTTTTCCAATAATTTAAAATTCTATGCCATTTCGCCTCCCATCTTTGTAAATATTCATCCAACGCGAGAATAACGATGAAAATATGAATGATTTTTCCGTTCGTTGCGAATTTATTATACAAATAACTCTTTGAAAACGCCCAAACTTGTCGCTCAATAAGATCTTTCTTCCTGCACGGAAAGCTTCATTTGAATATGGATATTTTCTTGAATAGAAGTCCAATGCTAAAAGCGTTCACAGATGACTCGACGTTGAAATTAGAGACGTCAAAACTGTTCAACAAAGGCAAACATAAAAAAAAGTAATGGGGGTCAGAAGTACAATACATCCTCGGCCATCGTTTCCTGTCGCGTACGATATACATTGTCGTACCCAACCGCTACGTATCTTAAAGTTTGCATAAAAAAAAACGAACAGATTCTTTTTTATTATATCATCGCAAGAGATAAAAGTATACCTGTTTGCATATACTACGAATAGGCCGGCGATCATGATCATCTTGACTCGCTCCACCACAGGATTCGGTTTTTGATCCTCCTCATTTAACGGCTGCATTATGAATATTTTGTCCGCGCTCAATTGGCCCATATTATTATTCCCGCGAGAAAGCTATATTAGTACAATGATATACATCCTTTATCTATTTTTTATACTGATAAATACACATTCGATATATAACAATGTAACTATTACCGCATTATTATATTGGATTATATACATTATATTGGACGATTAAATTCTTTTTGAAGATTTTCTGATTTCATGATATCTGAATATTTTAGAATAATATTTTTGAAACTTCGATGAATTGAAAATTCGATGTTTACTCAAATATCGAAAAAAAGCAGTACGTTAATTACTATTTTTTACATATTTGATTAATAATACGTTTGAGGATGATACGTTTCAATTATAATATCCAATTTTTGATAATATCCAATTTTTTAAAATAATAAATAATAGATTTTTTCAACTCTATGTCTTTTAATTTCGCCGCGTTACGCTTTCTGCGTTCAAAATGGAATAATCACATCTGAGATAATTTGAAGGAGAAAAATCTTGTAAAAGTGCGGGAAAGAGGAATCATTCCAATAAAAACATCAAATTAATAGTTCTGTACCTCAAGTATGAGTGACAAGCAGGCTGGATAGAATGTCATAAAGACGACATAGTTGACGATTACTCCGAAGCACGCAAAGGTGCAAAGGATTTCCAGTCTTCTCATGCCTGATAAGGCTCCTGTGCCGATTACGAGAGTCTCCACAAGGGTATTTAAAGTGATACCTGGTCCCAGTAGAGACATGCCGCGTGCGATGTTTGCTTTGACTTCCTCTTGATTCCGCGAACTTAGCGCGTATTGCGCTAATGTTGCAGCCTTCGTGAGATCAATAAGAAGCAGAAAGAAAAATAAGGCGTCTCTGAAAGAACAATAACGTTCCATTACTTCGCCAATCGCGAAGAAAGGAGCTTTATTCTTCTTAAAAAAATTAAATGACGGCGCGCTTACTTCAAGTCTGCGACGTCACTGCGGCTAAAATTTACCACACTAGAAGTGAACACAACGCTAGAGAACACGGTAAACAAGCCAGCGATACCTAGAACACAAGTAACAAATTTATTGAATATATTATGATAATTAAAATATTGTGATAATTGAAGAAGCTAAACGAAATTGAATTGCTAAATCTCGACCGGTAATATAATTTCGACTTACAAGATGTGTAAAGAAAAGATTAATAGTCATTTCATTTGTCCGTGATCCGATCGTGAAGGAAGAATTCTTATAAGTGCAGTGTCCGCAATACAACTCGGTGTATATTATAATTATGTATATTATGAATTATGTCTATTATTATATCGATTATATTCATCTCTTTCGATCTTCCAATCAATCATTACTATATTAATTGACATAAACGTACATAGTTTTGCATTTGATGTGGTGAGATTTCGCGACGAATTAAATTATCGATATATACTGACGCGCATACATGCACAATTAAGTGCACAATTAAGATGCGTAAAAATTCTTTCAGTAACCGAATTCAGTAATTGAGCATAACGCTTCGTACGAAACGTTATTGCTTTCCATAAGACTTTCACTGTGCGCCATCGTGGATGACGCTTTCACGCGCTACTCGGGAGGATCCGGTTTTATGAATGGTCTTGACACGCACGATTATTACGCATTTTTCCCCGTGTGATTCCGTCGTTGATGTAGAGATGTGTACAGTAGCGATCTCTAATAATCATGAAAAAAATATTTCTATTCTTGGTGAAGTAAAAAATTGAAACGCATTTCATCGTTGCCCAATTCATGTGATGCTGATTGATTTAATACTTTTATGATAATTTTTATAATTTTTAACTATTAGGAAAAACACACACACACACACACACACACACACACGTATACATATTTATATATGCATATTTAACAAATATATTATATGTATAATAACAAAAATATCACACAACATAATGACAAATCACTTAAAATTGTTGCGTTAGAACGCGTGTCAAGCTTTATTAATTAACTTACCTAGAATATATTTAGATCCCATTTTTTGCAAATTACGAAAATGATGATAAGTAAACAGCACCGCTAAGCAGCGTATTATTGTCATCACTATAACATCAGCCGATTTTAAATTCTGTCAAACAACATATGCGTATATGTTAGAAATTTTTTCTATTAGAATAAATAAAAAAATAGATAAAAAAGTAGAAAATAATAATAATGTGTATAAAAATTTTGTTTGATCAAACAGTTATAATTATTTTGTTATAATTATTTCAAATATTTAATATAAGTAAATATCTTTTAATATACAAGTATAAAGTATCTAGTACAATACTAATATAATTGTATAAAACACGACTTTATATGAAAGAAGTTAACATATTTCATAACAATCTGCTTACCATAGTATCGCATCTGTTGTGACGACAGTACGTTGCATCAGATAAGTTCTCTTCGCGTGCTTGTCCACTTCCTGTGTCCATATTAAGCATACATGCCGTCAAAGTGAAGATCGTCACGATCACCTCAAAGGGATAACCGGCACAAAACCGTCCGTGCTTTTCAAACACGTGCGCGAACATCATTGATGGCCTCCGCGAAAAATTTCTACGAAATCTGTAACATATTAAGGTAAACGTGTTGAATAAGATTGAATATATATATATATATATATTAAATCT